GCTTTTAAATTATTCTCTCCCTCATCTGTTTCAGTGCAGTATACAGAATTTATCCAGTTTTTCTCAGTCTTACCCCAACCCTGATTAAGTTTTTTAAAAAATATTATTACTATTTGTCTAAAATAACAAACCCATTTAGAAATTTACTTTTATTTTTGTTTATCATTCAAATTCAACTTTTTGTTCAAAATTGCAACATTTTAGAGGTTTGAGAAAGAAATATGAAAGTCTGTGTCTATCTGCCTTCCTTATTTCTTATTTTTTAAAACCAGAAGTAATACTTGTTTATATTTAGATGTGTGCTGTTCCATTTTTCTTTCTGTGTAAATGCTTGTATATATAGAGTCTTGTTCATTTTTGCAGGCACTGAATAGTGGATAATATTTTAAATTCCAATTTATTTTAATGAAAAATTGACTTTGCCTGAATATTTTTCATTCAGTGTAATGACTACTTTTATATAAATAAATAATAAGAGAAAATGCATTTAAAACAAGCTTCCTCATTTTATATTAAGAAAGAAAAGAATTATCCCATTCCCTCTTCTTATGCAGATGCTGTAAGTTAATTATCTACTCCTTCTGATCATGGCAACTCTATGTGTATGTAGAAGAACTGCTCTGTAGGGTTTCCAAGACTGTCACCCTTCAGTCTTGTCTTCCAAGAGGAATTAAATTGCCAATTTTTTGGTTTTACCCCAGTGTTTAAATATTTGTGCCACACAGGAATTCTCCATAAATATTACTGCTAGTGTGACCCTGCAGAGCAACTCTACTCTGTTAAGTGTGGTAGACTTTTATGTATGCATGCTGAAATATAGGGGAATAGGAATATGTTTAAATATTGCTATTATATTAAAATAATAGTGAGTATAGAGGGACAGAGCCATATATCCTCACTCAGCTACATAAGGTTCATCAAAAAAGTGTGACCGCCATGCTTTAAAGACTTCCTCATTATGTAACAATCAAGTATTTCTTCTAATATGGCCCTACTGCATGCTGGTCCTTCTTGAGACATTCACTAAAGCCTAAGTGTGTTGTTGTTGTTATGTGCCGTCGAGTCACCTGCGACTCATAGCGACCCTATGT